ACTCTGTACCTCTTTGGAAAGGCAATAAGAGGGACTGTTAAAATTAAGCTTTGTATTTCAAATGCTTCAATTCTTGGCTGTTTTGTTTTGTTTTTTTTCTTTATGCGTTTACTGAGAGCTTCAAGTTATTCTGAAGAGGGATTTTGTGCCATCAGAGCAAGCAGGCTGCAACTTTGGGATACCTTCATGTAGGATGGTGCCAGCCATGCTCACACTGTGTTATCAGTGCTCACCTTCCTGGATGCAATTAACAGCAGGATTTGACCATCATTGCTGATACTTAGATAAGAAAATTACCAATCCATCAATTTATCTCTGCTGCTCCCTGAAGAACAAATAAAACAGAAGATAAAAGCTTTCACCTGTTCTTTCTTTCATGGGAATAACTGCAGTGTGAAGGGGTTAAAAGCTCTCTGTGGGATCTCATAATGCATCCCAAGTCAGTGTGATCTGCCTTCCTATGTGTGCTCAGCTAGCCCCAAAGGAGAGCAGTGAAGAAGCAGCCATAGTGATGCTGATATTGGACCAAGGCACATTGTTTCTCTCCCAGCAATCCACAGAGGACAGTGTGCCACATACAGAGCAGCATCAAACACTCTGGGGCCTAAAACCTGAGCCAAAAAAACCTGAGCTCCATGGCTAGAGAGAAATACAAGGTGGGACACAGTTTGCTGCAATGGAAGAGAATGGTGAGAGCCTGCAGGCAGACCGTGGCAGAGCTCAGCTGGAAGGGATGACTTCATCCTTGCCAAAATGCATGTGTGCATATACATGGCTCTGTGTGCTGTGCTGCTGCCCTGAAACTTAGGGCATCCTTGTGGAGAGTAACTGCAGCTGTGGAATGGTCAATAACTCCCCTCCCCCCTAGAATGAGCACTTTTGTTTAATGTGGACAAAATAACCTAAGTTAATAGACTTGTTCATCACACACAGCTTCTGTTTGGGATTTGCATTTGTGCAGGGAGGAAGAGCATTCCCTTTGGCACAGCTGAATGCCCCAGGGCTGAGTTTGCAGCATCCTAACCCTGAACAATGGCGTGCAAATTTTGTTCCTGAGCAACGCCTTCGATGTTTTCCTGCAGAAGAATGGCTGAGCTCACAACGATGTCACTGCACATCAGAAGGAAAAACCATCTGCACAGTCGTGATAGCATCCCCAGGGACCTGGCACAGCAGAGCAAACCCTCACCCGTGACAAACAGGATTAGCCCTGCACCGGAGAGCTTCAGCACCGGGTAGGCACGGTGTTTCCATGGCAATTTCATGGCATGCAGTTGGTTCCAGATACCCTGCACAGGGCTTGGGGCTCCCTCCCACGGCGTTCCCATTGGTTTCCTCCCCCCCAGTTCCTGCAGTGGGATGGGTCATGCAGCATGAACCCAGCTGCATTCTGCATGCCCTCGCTCTGCAGCACAGCTTTTGTTTTATTATTTATGGATCACGAACACGCTGTGCTTCTTGGGTTACCTGGTAGTTGCACAGCAGCTCCCATTGCTTTACTTGCTTCTCTCACAGTACCATATTTCCAGGCAGCCATCGCAGCCCTGAAGCCAGGCAGTAGCACCACCCATGCCAGGGGATTGCATGCTGCTCGGGGAGGTGTCTCTGGAGGTTGAATGCCATCTTTAAGCTGATCTAAGCAGCCAAAATGCAGGCAGAGCACAGAGAATGGAAGCAGGGAGGACAAACAGGGGACCACTGATAATAGGAACCGCTGGCTGTCCTGGCTTCATGCTTTGTGTCAGCCCTGGGGAAGCCTGACCCTGAACTCTCCTGCATGGAAACGTGCTCTTTAGTTTGCTGAAGACTTGAATCCCTAAACAACCATAACTGTACAACTCAGAGCTGCTTGAAAACCCCAAAGCAAGAGCCAGGAGCTGCTCTCCTGCTTCTTGCTGCAAACAAAGCACCCTGAAAACACAGCACAGGTCCAGTTCTGCCTGTGGACACATATCTGAGGCAGCACCCTTGAGCTAGCAAGCACAGAGAAACTCAAGCTCATCTTGCCCTATCCTGTAAAGTGCATTTTAACTCAGGCTCTGTCAACTCAGCCTCAGGTGCAGCAGTTCTCATTGAGAAGCACAGGGCAGGAAAGCCACAGCCAGCATCCCCACTCCTCCTGGTGCCTCCAGCTCTGCTCTGGGACAAGCTGTGTCCTAGCTCTCCACCTCCTTCCTATGATTTCACTGCAGGGAACTTCAGCACGCCAGGGAAGCTGGCTTGGGTCACTGACCCCCCTCATATATCAAAGTTTGTCCTTTCCAAGCCAGGGCTGGTTATTTTTAAGCCTCCCTGCTAGGTATTAATAGCTCAGATGCGTGCTATGCTGAGCAGCTCCTTTGGTACCCAGATGGGAATCGAGCCGAACTGCCCTGACCTATGATCACAGTTCCAATGGCTGGTTTTACAATTGCATTTCTGATAAGTTCACTGCAGCTTATCACCAGCACATACCTACAGCTGCATTGACCCTGGCTCCTCAGCAGGAGGGGGCAAAGGCAAAAAGGAGCAGAGAAAGGGGAAACAGACCTGCAGGGTGCAAAGAGAGCTGGGGCTGCATAGAGGGGGTCCAGTATCACCCCAAATCTGGACTCTGCCTTCTGAGGGCTCAGCTGCTAATTAATTGGGCAGCTTTTAGCACCTGTTTGGGATTGCCACGTCTTTATCTAAAGCATCTGATTGCTTCCAGGTGTGAGAGAGGCTATGTCTGGAGTGAGATGAACTGTTATTCAACAGAAATGGATGTTTGGGTCACCAAGGGCTTCTGAGCTGAAGGGGAAGCCCACCATCACCTCATCACCCACATCAGCCACAGTTGGGTACCTCACAGGAGGACATCACCTCTTCTATCTTGCTTCAGAGGAAGGTGGGCAGTAATGAGTAATTAAAGTCACTGCTTGAAACCACATTTGCTATAGGACTCTGCCTCCTTGTGCTGCAGCATCTGCCCCTGATCACAGTGTGTTATTGGAACAGCCAAGAGAGAGGCTCTGGAGAAGTTACCCTGGAAAGGAACAGGGGACTCCCATGCTGCAGTGCAGGGGGAGCATATCAGGCACACAAGCTGCATTACTGCAAGGTCAGCCTCAGCTTCCTATGCACACAGTTTTGCCAAATTCTTTCCCAAGGCCCAGGCAAACTGGTTACAGCCGTTGTCTCACCTCTTATTCATTGCTGTGTGCTGAAAAAACAAAAAAACAAAACACCACAACCAGGACTGAATCAATTGGCCTCACATGAGCTCTATATTATATTCCTCTAGCTGCATTGTTTAAAATCCTAATGCAGCCAGCTGCAATGTGCATGCTTTGATTTAACGATTCAGCCAAGGACAGTGCTGCCTTAGCTCTGTGCTCTTAAAACCCAAGATGGGCTGAGCACAAGGAGCAAGGGCATTGGCTGGCTTCAATGAGGAGCTTTTCAGCTGCAGGATGAGCCCCTAATTAGCCCCTGGCAGCAGAATCGAGCCCATTTTAGGGATGTCCCACCTGTCCCCATGTTTCCATACCCCTCCAAGCATCACCTAGAGCTCAGCACAGTGCAGTTGCGTGAGGACACCCATGGAGATATGACCAGCTGCCACCAGATGGCACTGGAACCTTTGTCACCCAGCATGGTGGGGTCTGTCCCCAAGGTGGGGGCACCCAAGTTGCTCTGTTGCATGCAGGCTATGGGCCCTCACTTGAATTCAATGGCAGGGACAGGTGGGTGAAGGAGCTGCCAATGGTGGACAGTGACCTCTTGCACGAGGGCTTTTTTTCCTTCAAAGATTTCAGATTTAGGGGAAAGCAGTGTTGGTTTTTGTTTTTTTTCTTTTCAATTCTGTCAACGCATCTTGTGACACAGCTGTTCTCCCCTCCAACTGTACACTGTAGCAGCATAAGGGACTCTGGGGTCACCAGCTCTGTCCCAGTATCTCCCAGAAGTGCCAATGGCCATTGGGATGGCCACACCTCCTGGGTTATGGGTGGGCTGTTCACCATGCTGCACCCACTGACCCATCCCATCATGGGGAACCCCATCCAGCCCCAGCACAGGGGGTACTAGAGGAGGATCAGTGCCACACAAGGGGAGAAGACCGGAGCACAAACCCACTCAGGGAAGGAGGATGTTCTCTGGCTGTCCCTGCCTACTGTACGTCCCCTGCTTTATTTGCAGAGAGCAGGTTTGTTTGCTTTTCCCAACCTTGTAACTGCAATGCAAACACAACAAACCCTCCTGAGCCCCCTCCCAGGGGTTGTGCATGACAGTGGCATTTGCACTGCTCGCCTGGCATAGAAACCAGAGCTGACCCCAAAACAGGGACCCCCCAGGACTCCCCCCAGATCTCTGTGTCAGTTTCTATGCCCAGAGCATGGCTGAAAGCAAGGCAAATCCTAAATCTGCTGGGTGAGTCAGTGCCACCATTGTGCCCAGGTTGCCAGCCCTCTCCAAAACACTGACGTCCCATGTTTTGGGTCAGGGCTTGGTGAATGCTTTAAAGGCAGCCAGTCTGGCTGCAATTACAGATACTAATTATGCCATTATGAGAAGATTAAGACATCCCAGGGACCACGATGGACACTGTGGCCAACTCACCGCGTTGTCCCCAGCAGGCAGCCTGATCTCAAGGACAGGAACAAGGGCATTCATCCTCCTGGCCGCTGGCCAAGCCATAACCAAACCCCAACTGAGCTGCTTTCACAGCAGGGACAAAGAAAGCCAAAGAGCCCAGGAGGACCTGAGCATGTCCCCTTCCCATTTGCCTCTGTGTGCTCACCCCTTGGAAAACATATTTGGCAGCTCAGGTACAAAAGGGCAAAGCTACAGCCGGCAGCACCCTGTAGGAAGGAAGCAGGAAAATCTCTGCAGCCCCCAGGGTCCAACCAGGCTTGCATGGTTCGCCCAACACTGGCAGAATGGAGATGTCACCCCAGGCCATGGAATGGGGCTACGATGCCCAAACTGTGGCTCTTTGACCAGCCTGGAGCCAGGTGGAGAAAAAGCAGATGCAACTCATCTCAAGAACCACCACCTCCTTTAATTCCCCACCAGTGAAGCGCGGGGTTCAGCCTGGCTCTGAAATCACAGCTTTTAGCCACAGAAAAACCCACGCTAAGCAGTGCAGAGTGCGCTTCGGATGTGATGCTGGTGGTCTGAGCAGGGAATTTTCCTCCTGTGCCAGCCTCAGTAAGTCATGAGAACAGTGGGAAAGTAACCATCTCCACCACCCCCACGTCCCCAGCTGTGGTGGTTCCGTGGCACCGGGACCTGCCTGCAGGTGACACCGGTGCTCCTGCCTCACACCAGGGCTGGGCACCGTGGGGTTCTTCCCGCAGGAGGCACCGGGCTCAGATCATGGAGACCCTATTCTTGATGTAGACGTGGTACGGATCGCTGCGCTTGTCCACCTTTCGGGATCGAGTGTAGCCCAGGATGAGGCTGCCCACGGTGGCTGCGAAGAGCGTCATGACGAAGAGGATGTACAGGTAGGAATTGTCATCCCGGCTGGCACGGGTGCTGGCATTGTGAGGGGTGCTGGGGCGGAGGATGGCCCCGTGTATGGTTTGGTTCAAGGCATCCAGCATTGCTTGGAGGCTGCGGTGCCACTGCTCCGTCCTGTTGTCCTCCTCCATCTCCTCGCCAAGCCTGTGTGGGGCAGCAGCAGCAGCAGCATCAGCCCCAAGGACGGGGTGCCCCGGCTGATGTTGGGGCTGAGGATGAGCCCCCAAACGGTCCTCAAAGCATGGTTTGATGGAGGAAAAAAGCCCCACATCCAGCCCCAACCCCATTGGCAAAGTGCAGAGCCACGGCACCCACCTTGCTGTTCCCTTCATTAAATCCCTTCCTCCCCCTTAAACCCAATTAGGAGCGTTGAATTCTTTTTGAATGAAGGCACTTTAAGAGAACCCGGATGAAGCCGCTTGGTGCTCAGGCACAGATGACTGTCGGACATCCTCTGATGGACAGACAGACGGATGCAACCACACCAAGCACTTCCCATGTAGAAACAGACCCCAGAGATCCCTCTGTGTTCCCCATCCCGACAACATCAGCTCCAAATGACCCCACTGGGGTCAATGTTACCCCTTGGCCAGCATGGGGGGTCCCCCCAGACCCCAACTGATGGGCATCCTAAATAACAGCTCCAGAACTGATTGTGCCACGCACAGACCTCATTCACCCATTCAGAGCCCTGGCAAGAGAGGCACTGACCTCACATGCCCCCATGGACCCTCACCAAGGGGTCACTGCCCCAAATCTTCCCAGAATTTCCAGCCCCGTGTGCAAGACTGATCCCAAAGCCCCTCCAGACCCCCAACCTGCGCCCCTGTGCTCCCCCAAAAAGCATTCCTCAAATGCAAAATGCATTCAGCAAGGGAAAAAAAAGGGTCCGGGGGAGGGGGGGGAAGGGGGGAGGGTTGGGAGAATTCACCCTTGGACCCTCACTCTCTTTCCAAACACCATTAATCCCATAGAGGGAAGCCAGGGGACTTGGAGCAAAAAAAATCAGCATTTCCCACCTGCAGAGCCCCGCAGCGGTTTGCAGTTTGCTGCAATTTGGGATTGGGGTGGACAAGGTAAGGGGGAAAGGGTTGGTTGCACTCACCGGTTGCCCTCACTGCCTGCACGGCCGCCGGGTTGAACTGGGACTGGAGCATCGCGGCCGCCAACCGGGCTGGGAGTGCCGCAGCCTCCTCCCCTTCCTGGGGCAGAGCCACCTGCCAAAGCCACCCAGCCCCGGTGGTGGCTACCAGTGTGTCCCAAAGCCTGCAGTCCCGTTGTGTGATCTCCTCGGCCCGGATGCAGGAGGTTTTTATGGGGCTGTCCGGGTGGATCCTGCCTTTCCCTTCTCGCACGCTGCCGGTCACACTTTCCTGTCCCTCCTCCGGATGTCCATGCTGTCCCCAAGCCCTGCAGCAGGCACTGAGCCTGCTGGGGATGAAATGGGATATTGCTTCCCATTGGGACCCTCCCTGCCCCAATGCAGCCCCAGCAATATCATTGTGTCACAGACCATCGGGGCCCTGGGATAGATGCTGTGACCTTGGAAGAGGTGACGATGCCCACACCCTGCTGGTACCCCAATTCCTTTCCTCCCTCCTTCCCACCATATCAGCACTATCTTGGTGGCTTTAGCCCCTCTTTGGTGGCTTTTAGTCTCTTGTTGGTGGCTTTCAGTCCCTTGTTGGTGGCTTTCAGTTCCCCCTCCCCCCCAGTGGCCTTTGGTTCTTTTGGTGGCCTTTAGCTCCCCTTTGGCCTCTGTCTGTTGACTTCAGTCCTCTTTTGGTGGCCTTTTATCCCCCTTTGGTGGTCTTTAGCCTCTCTCTGGTGACTTCAGTTGCCTTTAGGTGGCTTTTAGTCCCCCTTTGGTGTCCTTTAGACTCTCTTTGGTGGCCTTCAGTCCCCCTCTGATGGCCTTTTGTACCCTTTTGGTAGCCTTTAGCCTCTATGGTGACTTCAGACCCCCCCTTTGGTAAATTTTAGTCCCTCTTTGGTGGCTTTTAGTCACTCTTTGGTGGCCTTTAGCCTCTTTGGTAGCTTCTAGTCCCCTTTTGGTGGTTTTTAGTGCCTCTTTGGTGGCCTTCTGTTCCACTCTGATGGCTTCTAGTCCCTCTTTGGTGGTCTTCAGTCCCCCTTTTTCACCTTTATTTCCCCTTCAGTGGCCTTTAGCCTCTCTGGTGGCTTTTAGTCCCCCTTGGTGGCCTTTAATCCCTCTCTGATGGCCTTTAGTCCCTCGTTGGTGGCCTTCAGCCTCTCCTTGGTGGCCTTTAATCCCTCTCTGATGGCCTTCAGTCCCTCTTTGGTGGCCTTCAGCCTCTCCTTGGTGGCCTTTAGTCCCTCTTAACTCACTCACAGTTCCAGAGGAACCTAGGGGACAGTGACAGCGTTCACAGAGCACACAGCAAAGCACCAGCAGCCAACTCTCTTTATATAAAACCAACACTGACTTTTGCACAGCAGCAAGGAGATAAGAGCACTTCACCAAGCAACACCTCTCCCTTTTTGCTCAAAGCATTCACTCCAAGGTCAGACATTTTGAGGAGAGAGGAATTCAAACCACCAAAGTGCTTGCTGAGGACGTGACCTGAGTTCTGCAGGTCCACCCCTGGTCCTAACAAGGGCCTTTTTTTCCCCACAGCATCTCAGCAGCGAGACGTGGCCACGGTGAGGACATGGCATTGGGGACAGCCTCCAACCATCCCACACCATCTGTGTGCTCCGGCACCTGTGGGATGTGACTCTTTCCATCACCCTGCACCTTCTCAGTCCCTGGGCTCCTCAGAAAACACCACAGTGCAGTCAAAGACCTCCTGGAAGGATTCAAGGAAAGGCTCGAGGATGTCCTCAACGGTGACGTGGCGGCCCAATTCGTGGCTCAGTGAAGTGGCCGTCGTCCCCTCCAGCCCACAGGGCACGATGTGCTCGAACCAGGAGAGGTCAGTGCAGCAATTCAGTGCCAGCCCGTGGGAGGTGATGTGGTTCCCACAGTGCACCCCTAAGGGATGAGGCACCCATCAGCACGGCCCTCCGCAGGGCAGCACCCACCTGCGTGTGTCGTCCACCCCCCAAGCGCTGCACCCCTCATGCATCCCTCCATGCAAACCTCCCTGCACACACTGCACCTTTGTGCACAGCCACATCTGCATGCCCCATCCTGCTGCATTCCTTGTTCCATGCACATGAGCCCTGAGCACGCCCCCTTTGTGCACCCTCCCCATGGTGTTCCCCCTCCCATGCACCATACCATCAGTCCATGACCCCCCCCCCCATTTCCCACCCCTGCACATACATCCAAATGCACGAAGCCCCATGCAAACTCCCCACTGCACACAATCCTGTGCATCCCCACTGCCATGCACATCCCCTGGTGTATGCATCCCAACGCATACCTCCCCCATGCACTCACCCTTGTGTATCCCCCCCCCCCCATGCACACACATCCCCTGGTGCACAACCCCTCACTCAACTCATCCTCCAATGCAAACTTCTCCCACTGCATCCCCCTTTGTGCACACCTCCCAGTGCACACACCCCTCTGCATTCTCCCACCCCCCCAAGGCAGGCCCCCGCAGCATACCCCCACCCTGCACACACGCTCTTTGCAACCCCCCCACACCCCAAAACCCCGTGCATGTGCAACCCCCGTGCAAAACACCTTCTGCACGCACTGCTATGCATCCCCCCACCCATGCACACCTCTCAATGCATGCTCCCCCCACCATGCATGCACCCTCAGTGTACCCCCACATTTACAATCCCCCCATGCCCCAAAACCCCATGCATGTGCACCCCCCCCGTGCAAAACTCCTTCTGCACACCCCATGCATGTGCACCCTCTCACACAAGACCCCTGGTACACACATCCCTGTGCATCCCTACCCCACTGCACATCTCCTAATGATGCATCCCCCCCCAACCACGCAGGTACCCTCAGCGCCCCCCCACATTGCACACACACCCTTTGCAATCCCCCCCACCTTCCCAAGCCCCATGCACGCCCATTCCCTGATGCACCACCGTGCAAAACCCCTGCTGCATACACACCATGCATCTCCCCCCTCACCAATGCATGCACCCTCAGCGCCCCCCCACATTGCACACACGCCCTTTGCAACCCCCCCACTTCCCCAAAGTCCCTCCCGTCCACTCCCCCCCCCTCCCCCCCCCCCCCAAATCGCTCACCGACGGCGCACACTTTGCCTTCCCCCACCCACACTCCGGTGTAAGGCGGCGGTCGCCCGGCGGCACTCATCGCCCCGACCCTCCGGCACAGCCGCACCGCCACGTCCTGCAACCTCTCCACGAAGCCCCGCAGCTGAATTCCCCGCGCCTTCAGATCCAACACGGGGAAAGCCAACAGCTGCCCCGGCCCGTGGAACGTCACGCTGCCGCCCCTCCGCACCGCCGCCAACCCCGCGCCGGCCGCCCGCAGCCGCTCCGCCTCTCTCTCAGTCGGGGCACCTCGCAGCCCCCACGCGTATACGGGCCTTGCGGGTTCGCTCAGCACCACGCATTCGAATGGAGGACGTGGAGGAGGGCCCCGAGCCGCCCGCGCAGCCGCCACGCAGCGCTGCTGAACCCGCAACGCTTCTTCGTAAGGCCGCAAACCCAACGAGACCGCCCGCACGGCCGGAGCCGGCATGGCGGGGGAGGGGGCGTGGCCTGAGGGTGTGGGCGTGGCCTGATGAACGTAGGCGTGGTCTGATGGATGTGAGCGTGGCCAGCCGAGTGTGGGCGGGGCTTGGGAAAATGGGGCGTGGCCTGAAGGTTGGGTTATAGACCGGAGGTGGGGCGGGGCCTGAAGGTGTGGGCGTGGCCTGAGGGTATGGGTGTGGTCTGGTTTGCGATGGTGCTTGGGAAATGGGGCGTGGTCTGTAGGTGGAGGCGTGGTCTGTAGACGGGGGCGTGGCCTGTAGGATGGGAAATGAGAGCTGGGAGTGGGATATAGGGCTGGAGATGTGGGATAGGGAATATGGCCTGGGAATGGGATATAGGGGATAGGTGTATGTGAGTTGGGAGTAGGTGTGGGGGCAGGGGACTGAGAATAGGGCCTGGGGTTAGAATAGAGGGCCAGCGTGGGTGTGGAAAGGGGGTAGGGTTCTTAGAATGGAATATAGGAGAAGGGGTGTGTGTGTGTGAGTAGGGGACAGGTTATAGGGCTTGGGATTAAGATATAGAACCCAGGTATATATAGGGGACAGGAAACGAGGCTTAGGAATGGGATATAGGGGGAAGGGATCATGTGTGTATGGCTAGGGAACAGATATGGGGACAGGGAATATGCTCTGGGATTAGGGAGGGTCTGGTAATGGGATACAGGGGACAGGGGATGGGTGTATGAGAGTAGGGGGCAAGCTTGGGGACAGGGGACTGGGAATAGGGCCTGGGATTAGGATGTAGGACCCTGGTATATGTAGGAAGAGGATAGGAAACAAGGCCTGGAAATGGGATATAAGGGGCAGGGGTAGGTGTAGGTGTGTATGGGTAAGGAACAGGAATGGGGACAGGGAGAATGGTCTGGGATTAGGATCTAAGGCCCAGTTGTGTGTGGGGAGGGGGCAGAGTTCTTAGAATGGAATATAGGGGAAGTGGGGTGGGTGTATGTGGGTATGTGGCAGGTGTGGGGACAGGTTATAGGGTTTAGGATTAAGATATACGGCCCGGCCCAGGTATATGTTTGTAGGGGGCAGGAAATAAGGCTATAGGGATATAAGGATATAGGGGACTAGGGAACAGATATGGGGCAGGGGATTGAGGACAGGGAATATGGTCTGGGATTAGGATATAGGGCCCAGGTGGGTGTAGGAAGGGGACAGGGCCTGGGAATGGGATATAGGGGATAGGGGACAAATGTATGTGGGTAGGGGGCAGGCATGGGGACAGGAAATAGTGCCTGAGATTAGGATATAGGGCTAAGGTGTGTGTATGTAGGGGGCAGGAAACAAGGCCTGAGAATAGGATATAGGGGGCAGGGGACAAGTGTATGTGGGTAGGGAAGAGGCGTGGGGACAGTTTATAGGGCCCAGGATTAGGACTCAGCTGTGGGACCCAGGGGATTAGGGATGGGAAACTAGGCCTAGGAACGGGTTATTGGGGTCAGGGGACAAGTGTACATGGGGAGGGGGAATTGGAGGCAAGGAATAGGATCTTGGGGGAAGGACCCAGGTGTATATGGGCAGAGGGAAGTCATGGTGTTAAGAGAACAGCAATAAGGGACAGGGTGGTTGTGGGGATAGGAATCAGCCTGGGAATGGGGTATAGGGTGCAAGGGACAGGTATGTGTGGGTATGGGGTAGGCACAGGGACAGGGGATGAGAGAGCAGGAATAGGGGACAGGCATGAGAACAGAGGACTGGGAACAGGGGATAGGGCCTGGGATTAGGATATAGGGGCCAGGGCCCAAGTATTTGTGGGAAGAGGACAGACACAAGGAAAGGAGACCAGAAATAGTAGACAAGGACAGGGGTTTGAAGGCAGGAAACGGGGTCTGGAAATAGAATATAGGGGACAGAATTAAGACAGCGGAGAATAAGAGACCAGGAATAGAGAGCAGAAGAAGGCAGAAGCATGGGGGCAGGGTATGGAATTGGGATATTGAATTAGGATCTGAGATTAGAATACAGGGGATGTGGGTGATGGACCAGGAATGGAGGACAGGGGATTGAGAATAGGAAGCAGTGCTTGGGAATGGATACAGGGGACAGGTGTGTGTGGGGAGGGGGCAGAGGTAGGAGATAAGGAGAAATGGGGAATGGGAGTGGTGACAGAGAATTGAGGACTGGGTATGGGGCCAGGGATTAGGATATAGGGCCTGGGGCCCACGTAGGTGTGGGTGGGAAACAGGGGAATGAGGTCATGGAATAGGGGACAGAATCTGCATATATGTGGGTAGGGGACTGGCACAGGGACAGAGATAGGGGACTGGGAAGGGGGGGACAAGAGTAGGGCACAGACCTAGACAAGAGTAGACCACAGATCCCCATGGGATCAAAGACAGGGAGCAGGGTGTGGGAATAGAATGTAGGAAAAGGGCACAGGTATGTGTGGATAAGGGAAAGGCAGAGGGATAGGAGACCTGGAATAAGGGACAGTGACAGGACAGACATGGGGACAGGAGATGAAAGACAGACGACAAAGCTTGGGAATATGATGTTGGGGATGGGACCCAGGTGGATGTCAGCAGTGGGCTGGCCCTGGTACAGGAAGCAGGGGACCAGGAACAGGGGACAGGATGGGGTCAACGGCCTGGGAACAGGATACAGGGGACAGATATTTGTGGGTAGGAGATGGGTACAAGGCATATGGGACATGGGCAGGGATCGTGAGTGGGAAAAGGAGATCAAGGACAGGGGTAGGAGTCAAGGCCCAGGTGTATGTGGATGGGAGATGAGCTTGGGGACAGGGGAAATGGGGCTGGGGTTAATGGACGGGGCCTATGTGGATGGGGGACCAAGGGCAGAGCATGTGGACAGGGATAGGGGACAGAGGTGGAGGATGGCGGTGGATGGTGATGGATACGCTGGGGATGTGGAACATGGCCTGAGACAAGATAGGGAGTGGAGTCTGCAGTGGGAGATAGGGAATGAAGGATGGGAGCCAGGGATGGGGAAGTCAGAGATAGGCACAAGGGACAGGGGGAAGGCAGGAGGGATGGGATTGGGATGGGGAGCAAGATGTTGGGGTCTGGTTCTGGTGCCCACAGACAGACAGGGACAGGGGCTGAGAATGTGGACGACTGAAAGAGTCCAAAGACAAGGGAGAGCAGTTAGGAGATAGGAGCAGGGCCTGGAGGTGGGGGTTAAGTCACAGGGACAGGAGATTGGGGCATGGCAGTGGCTGATACAGCCCAAGGCTCTGGGCTGGTGTCCCAAGGTCACAGATCTTGAGGTTACTGTACAAAAGCTCTTATACATAAAGCTTGCTGGACTGCGCTGTGTTGATGTGCACTGCAATTAATCACACTGCGACTTCAGGAGTGATAACGTGTTCCTGGTGTAACTTTTTATTGCAGGAGAAAATAGGTCGGTCTGGTCGGGGTGCAATGAGTCAACCATTAAAGGCAGAGCTGTTCCCAGCTCCCAGCTCAGCGTTCCACATTATCGACGAGATTAAGGTATGAAAGTCTTGAGATACGCATTCGATTTTATAGCAGAATCAAATGTTAATAAATGTGTTTTTATCGGAAATAGGCTGTGCTGGCCAGCCACCCTTTGTAGTGCCTGGTAATTCAGCTGTCACCTGAGCACCACGTGGGCTGCAGCTCTTCTCTGCGGGTGTCTGCAGGGAAGGAAAGGCGCTTTCCTTGTTTGCCTACATTCCTGATGAAAAGGGAACGGTTGTTGCAGTGGGTTATAAAACTGATACAGCCTGGGAAACAACACTGTGAATGTCACCGTATCGCTGTGCCAGCTCGTCACGGAGCGTGTTTGCTCCAGCAGCCCCAGTTGTAGAGCTGTTGAGGTTGGAAAGACCTCTAAGGTCATCAAGGCCAACCCAACCCACCCCTACCACAACAACTCATAGAATCATAGAATGGTTGAGGTTGGAAAAGACCTCTAAGGTCATCAAAGCCAATCCCAACCCACTCCCACCGAAAGGACTCATAAAATCGTAGAATGGCTGAGGTAGGAAAGACCTCTAAGGTCACCAAGGGCGACCCATCTCCACCACGTCCCCAGGGGCCACATCTACCCTGTTCTTGAACACCTCCAGTGACAGTGACTCCCCTGCCTCCCTCTGCAGCCCATTCCAATGCATTACCACTCTTTCAAAGAATCATTTTTCCCTAACATCCAACCTGACCCTCCCCCTGGTGCAACTTGAAGCCATTACCTCTTGTCCCATCAATGGAGGCTCACAGCCATCAACCCCCACCCGAATTTTGGGTCTCTGCTGGTGCAGCGGGGCCAAGGCCAGCTGGCAGCGCCCGCCCTTGGCAGGAGACGCTTGTATTTTGCACCCACATTGTGTGTGTATTGAGTTATTTCCTTCTTTATGATTAAGCTACAAGCTCTTGCTGGACATCAAAGCCAAGTGCTCTTCCTTTTTGGCGTGCAGCAGCAGTGCCTGCGTAAGATGGGGGGGAACTGTGTGCAGTAAGTCTGGGATCCTTGTAAATAAGGCAGCAGAAGTGAACGTGGATGAATAGCTAGGGTATTTACTGTCAGTATCCTGCTTTTGAGGCAGGGAGGATATGGAGAAATTTGCACGGGAGGGAGCCACGGATGGTTCACATTCTGTCCTTATTTTTGAGCATTGTTAAGGGTTTTTCCTTCACGATGTGATCATTTACTGTTCTGCATTACCTTTTCCTTTGAGCACTAGCTGAGTTTCTTGAATCCTCACCAACTCCTCTGATTGTAGTAGCAGGCAGGGCCCATTCTTCTGGCAGGAGGCAGCAGGCAGAAGGACATTACCCCCTCGGGGAGCTTTAGGGCTGAGGCAAGCCAGGGTTTAATAGCAGGAAAGGGCTGGGAGGACAAAGGTGTGAGGCAGGTGCCTGCAGGAGGGGGGCTGCTAGGTCAGCATCTTGGCTCCGGTGCCATTGGTGACAAAATTCCTGTTGACTTTGGCAGGACCAGGATGTCATGGAGAGGTGACAAAGGTCCTGATGTCGTGGGCAGAGCTGGGAGTGGGCTGCTCAGTCTGGGTGCCCCTCACAGCACCAGGTATGGACATCCCCTCCCTGAGCCTTTGAGCAAAATCCCATCTTTCTTCAAGCAAAGGGTAATTGGCAAACCGTCTCCTTTTACAGAGGGCCACGCCAGCACCAGCACTGACTGCTCCCTGTGTTTAGAACTTAGAGGAAGGATTTGAAGTGTGCAAGAGTTTGGCACATGGAATAGAGCCCAGCTCTGCTATGGGCTAAACAATCTCAGAAGAAAAATCCTGCCCTGAGGAAACTGGAACACTCTAGGTTGTGTTTCTGGGACCTTCACCAAGTGCCTCTTCTCACCCATTGCACTGGATGAAGCTCAGAAGTCATCTCCTCCATCGCTCTCATCATGGGGGATCAACCACTGCCATCCAGTTGGGTTCCTGGGACCTCAGTGATGGAGAGGTCTTTTGGGTTGGTGTGTAGTGGAAGTACTTCCTTAATCAAGCAGAATGACACCTCTAAGATGATCTGATGATGTCTCTTTGTGTCAGATTGAGTTGTGTTTTCTACTCTTGCATTTTGTAGCACTGCTTCCTCACATCAAGCACTGGCACAGGGAGGTGGTGCATTCCCCATCCCTGGAGATGTTCAAGAGCCACGGGGATGTGGCACTGAGGAACACGGTCAGTTGGCACGGTGAGAGTGGGTTGGGGTTGGACCTCGTGATCTTAGAGGTCTTCTCCAACCTCAATGATTCTATGATTGTATGATAAGGAGTTGGCTCTGGGAAGCTTTAAGCCATGAGTTCGTTTTTCCTTTATGCCCGTTACAGGTTCCCATATGGTAGCTCAGAAGGGTCAGCCAAATCCTGGCACCACACACCGTTATCAGACTGAGTGATGTGAGCCTGGCCTGACAGTCCTGCAGTTCTCTTAGAAGGATGAGCAGTGTCACTATGGTTTATTCCACAACAAACCTTCCACCAAGGTTGCTGGGAGGGAATCGCTCGAGCAGAGCTCTCCAGTTCATTCAGGCACAATCTTGGTGGATGTGGCCCAGAGCCAGAACAGCTCTGACCTCCATTATGTATTCAGTGACTCAAAGAAACGTTCCCGAGGCTGTGACAAAAGAGAAGAAAAACAAGGAAATGTACGTGTGAGGCTGTGCTGCAGGCTGCACGCACCGGGGGTGCATTTAGGAAGTAGTTAAGGAAGCTCCTCGCTGCGCCTGGGGAGCTGGGTCAGAGCTGGGGCGAGTTTCTGTGTCACTTTGGCTTCTCTCCATTGTCCTTTGAGCCATCTCAGGTCAGCGTGGCTTCTCCAAGCTCCCCGTGCTGCCAGGAGGTGGGGATTCTGCTCACGAAGCGAAGGTCCGTGCACACACTGCTCTTCTCTTAATAACGTTGATGAGGTAGATCCTGTCTCTGCTTTGTCCCCAGTAACTGGAGGTCAGCATCCTCTTGGGGCAGCCAGTGCTGCTGGAACCATCCCACCTGGGTTAAGCACTCATCAGAACATCTCTGATAAGGAGGATCCTCTGGAAGAGCTGAACTGGGAGAGTGGACTGGCATGCATTTATGTTGGCAGGTCTATGGAGACCCAGGAAGCACACCAAGGACTGGGAGAACTCATTGATAGCAGCCCTGCAGTGAAGAACTTGGGGATCCTGGTGGATGAAAAGCTGGATGTGAGCCTGCAGTGTGCTCTTGCAGTCTGGAAGGCCAATAGCACCCTGGGCTGCATCAATAGAGAGGTGGCAGCAGGCAGGGTGGGTTGTTACACACCTCAGGACCCAGGAGTCAGACCGGCTCCTCATCCGGTGTCACTTAGAAGCTTGGCTCCTTTGTTGCTTTGTTGACTTTAGTTTTCATACCTGCAGGAAGCTGACAACTGTTGGATTTAGCACAACAAAAAAAGGTGGGGCAAGTACATGGCACTGCTTACTGATTGATCTTGAGCTGTTTTACTGAGGCATTATACCAGTAGGGAAGCAGAGAAATCGTGCTGCAGTCCGTGTCGTGCAATAAGAGCCATAGATTCATAGAGTCATTGAGATTGGAAAAGACCTTTAAGATCATCCAATCCAACCTTCGAGCTATCCCCACCATATCCCCCACTCATAGAATCATTAAGGCTGGAAAAGATCTCTAGGATCATCAAGTCCAATTGTATGGTAGAATAACAGAGCGGGAGGTGAGGAAATGGAAATTTGGGAAGGAATTTAGCTTTGTGATGTGGGAATGATTGTGCTTGCCTTTGTTTATCAAAAGCTCTGAGATTCTGAATGTAGAAAGCTTTACAATCTTGAAAATGCAGTTTAGCAATGCTCAGTGTCTTTCTAACCTCAACAGCATCAGTCTTCAGGCATTAATGAAGTTCCCACCCTTCCTTCTCTGTTCTTCTGTATTAGAGACCTGCTGCTTCTCTCCTATTCGTGGGACAAAGGACCATGGAGGTTTGTAGGATCAAGACTCACATAGGAAGGATTTGGAAAACTCTCTGCTCCTACCTGCTGCTCAAAGCAGGGTCTGCTCTCAGGTTGGGTCAGGTTGTGAAGGGTTTTATCCAGTCATAGAATCGTTAAGGTTGGAGAAGAACCTCCAAGATTTCCCAAGCTCAACCCCAACCCAGCCCACTGTGTCCATTGACCGCGTCCCTCAGTGCCACCTCAGGAACACCTCCAGGAATGAATGGTGACTCCACCGCTCCCTGGGCAGCCTTTGCCACTGCATGACCTTTGGAGAAGAGATGTTTCTCTTCTGTCCAACCTGAACCTTCCCTGGTGCAACGTGAGCCTGCTTAAACATAAGTGAGACCAGAACCAGACTTCGTTCCAAAAAAGAAATCCTTCCGTGGAAGAGCTTCAGTAAACTAACTGTAAATCTGAGGGAGGTCTGCAATACCCCAACATACACTGTGCTCTGAAGGTGAAAAGTTTAATACTACAGTTAGTAGGTCAGGAAAACATCCCAGATGTAGAAGGCAGGAAACTTAAAGGAGGAAAAAACAGAAGATGAAAAGACACTTAAAAAAAAACAAACAAACGATGATTAATGTCTTCAGAGCAACGTTGAACATCAGTGTCAAGCCAGGAGCAAAATGACAGAGAACCAGAATAGCTGCAGTGACACGAAGGAACAGAGAGAAACGGAATGAGAGAGAAAGTTCATGGGACCGTGGGAGGAAGAGGATGTCTGGATTTTATTACCAGCAAAGCAGACGTGATGCCAGCTGAGTAACGTGGTTGTTGTGAGTGCCGGAGGGCTCTGCAGGGGCACATGCGTCACATGAGCTGATTTTAACACTTACTGAGTGTGTAATTTCCTTCCCTGCCCTTTGCCAGGTAAAAAAATTGACGCATTCAAGTGAGGATCTGTATCCGCTCAGAGCTCTCATGAAGCTGGGGGATTCAGCCCACAGCAAGGGGCTCTTCTGCTCAGTGCACAGCAGCACATCTCTGGGGCTCTACAATTTGGAGCTGCGTGGGGCTCTGAGCAATGATGCTTAGGGATAATGAGCATCCCTGCCCTAAAACCCATGGAGTAATGGGTTGGTCTTATAGAATCAAAGAAGGCTTTGAGTCAGAAGGACCCTTAAAGCCTAGTTGGTCCAAATCCCTGCAATGCAAAGGGAGACCCACAGCTCCATCCTTGTGGTCCTTTTCAACCCAGGCCATTCTATGATCATCTCTGGACAAACCTGTTCCAGAGCTCCACAAGTCTTCATCTCATTCCACTCTGGGAGCCGTTGCAGTGGGTGATTTCAGAAGTGCCGTGGGATGAAGGAGAATGGCCTCACTTCAGCTACAGTTTGCACAAGCTGAAGTGCAATGCAGCTCAGCTCTTTCTATTCCCAGCAAGAGCAGCAGAGCCTGCAGCAAGCAGGAGCTTCCAGCAAGCGTGGTGTGCAGCTGTCTCCTGCTGACCGAGGGAGGGAACTGCATGAGATGAGGTGATGTGACAGCAAATCTGACTGAAAAAAAAAAAGTAATTAATTAAAGACACTGACTAATGATGAGTTTATTAAGCGGTGCATGGAAAGAGTGGTGGGTATCATTTGTCCCAATTAAAAAAAGAAACAAAACCATGGATTTTTCTCAAACCATTTTGTCTCACAGAATCACAGAATTGTAGGGGTTGGAAGGGACCTCCAGAGATCATCGAGTCCAACCCCCCTGCCAAAGCAGGTTCCCTACAGCAGGTCGCACAGGTCGGCATCCAGGTAGGTCTTGAACCAGACTAGAGCCAGGTGAACTGAAGAAAAAGGAAAATCTACGGAAAGAAATTTGGAGAGTGGAGCTGCCAATTTCAAATGTGATGCTTTGGCGAGAAATAGAAGTAGTGATGCTACAGATAGGGCTCAACAGAGTTCTCAGAGAGACGTCCCCATCCCTGGGGACATTCGAGGTGAGGCTGGGCAGGACTCCAAACACCTGACGGAGCTGTGGGCGTCTCTGTGCATTGCAGAGAGTGGGACCTGATGGCCTTTAAGTGTTCCTTCCAACTCAAAGCACTCCATGATTGAACTTGCTGTGTTTATTAGGAGTATTGATAACAGATGAATGTCATTGAAGAAATGGCTGCTTCGGCGTCGCTGAAGGACACAACTCAAGTCTCTCCATTTGTATGAAGCAGTAAAAATTACAATGAAGCAGTTTTCTTTAGCCTTTGTCAACGTATCTGATATATCCCATATCTGATGGCACTCCAGCAATTTTTGATTAAAAGAGGAACTCATAAGATTAACAGAAGGTAAGGCTGAAGATGATGCAAATTCTGCCAGCAGCTCATGTTTGATGAAGTAGCACTGCATCATACATCAAGCTACGGCAGGGGAGATTCAGGCTGGACATGAGGAAGTATTACTTATCAGAAAGGGTGGTCAGGCACTGCAGTGGATGCACAGGGAGGTGGGGGAGTCACCGAGCCTGGGGGTGTTCAAGGAAAGGCTGGATGTTGTGTTGAGGGACGTGGTTCAGTGGGAGCTGCTGGGAATAGGTGAACGGTTGGACTGGATGAGCTTTTAGGTCTTTTCCAACCTTGGTGATTCTATGATTCTAAGAACATTTCTATGCACAAAAGCTTGGAAAATGGATAATGTTGTGCAAATCATCATCAAAGCTGTGAATTTCATAATGTCAAGGGACCAAATCTTGGCCAGTTCCAGGAGTTCCTTAAAAGTACAGGTGTTGATGATGGCGTGATCATTTGCTTTTCTGAAGTCAGGTGGGTCATTCATGATGAAGTGCTAAAAAGAAGTCATCATTTACAAAATGACATCAAGTTGTTGATGGGATCAAAAGGAAAACTGGTCCCGAAACTTGAAGATGAAAATTGCTCACAGAGATAGCACTTCTGGTGGATTGGACTGCTTGTTTGAATGAGTTAAACACACATCCTCAAGATGAAAATCAACTTATTGAGGCTGTGTTTCAGACCATAACAATGTTCAAAATGAAACTTCAATTATGGCAAGCTGAAGGCATGGCAAATAATTTTATGCGTGTTGAGACGTTGGATAAACACAGTCATCATAGAATGATAGAATGGCCTGGGTTGCAAAGGAGCTCAATGCTCATCCAGCTCCAAGCCCTGCTGTGTGCAGGTCGCCAACCAGCAGCCCAGGCTGCCCAGAGCCACATCCAGCCTGGCCTTGAATGCCTGCAGGGATGGGGCATCCAGTCCTGTAAACAGTGAAAAATAAGCAGCCTTGCTTTATGTTTTGATAAACGAATTTGAGAATGGGTTTCAATATCACTGAAGAAGTCATCAATTTTTGATATGTTTGTGACTCCGTTTTGAGTCGGCATCAATAGATGACCTGTGAATTTCCAAATGGAATGCACAGATGCAGTTGGACAATCTGCACAAGGAAAACATGGATCACATCTCTACCAGACTTCTAAAAGACCTGTCCTACCAGAGAAGAATATCCCCCTCAACGTGGCCCAGCCAAGCCAGTAGCTGGACACCCACAGGGTATATAACACAGGAGGAGGCAATGAGCTTTCTGGGCCTGGACACAGAACACTGAGTTGACTTTGCTCCCATATCCCTTCCCTAGGACGTGGGAGGAGTGCACCATGCTGGATTTGAGAAGATGCTTTTCTATTCTGTTCTTTCTTGGAAGATTTGCATTATTTCCTAGCTGTTGCTCTTGTTTGTCTTCTTTAATTGCACACCTGCTGGGGAAAATGATGTGCAGGGCTGCTAGAAAACACACCGCTCTGCCACAGCTCCTCCTGTGCCCATCCTCCTATTGAGTAAATGTCAGATACTCCATGCTGAGGCACACTAATTTAATTGCCTTGAAATACAGGACGTCAAGAACAGGAATCCGTTAGGGATCCATTCTGTCCACCTCTTCATGCAGCTCTGAGAACAGGCGCAGAATGAGATGGAATCAGAAATGCCAGCTACCAGTGTGACTCAAACTGGGAAATTTTCATGATGGTTTTGGAGCCATTCATGTCAGTCATCTTTCTTAAGATGTGACAGCTTGTGCTTTTTTTGGGTGATGCTGTGTGGAGCCAGGAGTTGGACTCGATGATCCTTGTGGGTCCCTTCCAACTCAGGATATTCTGTGATTCTATGATCCTACTTGGTGGGAGACATTATATTCTTTTTGCTGACGTATTCCCAGATGCTTTTTTTTGTCCTATAGTGCTTAAACCTTGTGCTTTTATTTCTTTAGAAGGGACTCTTCCTACAAAAGTACAAAAAATCCTGGCACAAAAGACAGTACAAGTTACAAAAGTCAAAGAACTCTGTTTGTGTGAGTGGTACAACATCTCTCTCCAGGAAGACGTCATACCATGACGCACCATCAAACATGTGAGTGGGAACCAGCACCTTTAATGTAGGTGTCCCACAAACGCGGGGTGTCTACAGCTTGGTCTCTGGTGGAGATAACAGCTATCTGACTGGCAAAGATAGCAGTCACGCTACGCTGATTGTCAGAGGGGAGATATGTTCCTGTTCCTTTATTTTTCATCCACCCAAAACTTATTTGAGTAATTTCTTAGATCCCTATCCCTTGTTGGTATTGCTGCCTCGCTTTTCGGAGCGCGTCAAGATTTTTTTAGCTATGCTTCTGTATTTTGTACGGTGAAGAAGGAGGCTGAAGGTCTGACTCATCCATTGCACAGGATTCCTAGCAACGAGGCCCTTTTAATTCTACCTTGTTATTTTTAATTCATCTCGGGGTAAGAAAAGAGGAACGTCATACTTTATATCTCCTTATGTGTCTGTCTGACAAGTGTTCATAGGATCATAGAACATCTTGGGGTGGAAGGGAGCCCCAAAATCCTCCATTTCCAACCCCCTGCTGCGGGCTGAGATGCCAACCACTAAACCAGGCACCAGATCAGGTTGTCCAGGGCCCCATCCAACCTGGCTTTTGAGCACCTCCAGGGATGGAGCACCCACACTTCTCTGGGCACCCTGTGCCAGCACTTCACCACTCTCTCAATGAGAATTTCCCCCCTGACATCCAAATCTCCCATCTTTTATTTTGGAACTGCTCTCCCTTGCCCTGTTACTATCTGCTCATGAAAAAAAGTTGATTTCCCCCCTTTTCACATCTTTATCTCTAAATTGGTGAGATATGTGTTCAAGGGCTGGAGAATTCAGTGGATAAGGAATCGGTTGGATGGCTGCAACCAGAGGTTTGTGGTCACTGGCTCTATGTCCAGGTGGAGGTCAGTGATGAATGCTGTCCCCCAGGGATCCATCTTGAGACCAATGTCCTTCAGCATCTTTATCAATGACGTAGATGATGGAAATTTGCTGATGACACCAAGCTGAGTGGTGCAGTTGACAGAAGAGAAGGATAGGGTGACATCTAGAGGACCTGGACACACTCAAAAAATGGGCACACGAGCATCTAATGAGGTTCAACAAGGCCAAGTGCAAGGCGTTGGGTCAGGACAATCCCAGATATGTGTACAGACCAGTAGAAGGACTTGGGGAATCTGGTTGATGAAAAACTTATTTTGTAACTGAAAGTCTGCACTTATCTTTAGATGGGATGCTCCTCCTGAGCACTGGACCTTCAGGAGCCTCTGATCAGACTGCCTTGATAAGCTCCAAAAGGAAAAGGATGCCTGCACCTGGGTGAGTTTTGGACAGATTCACTTACCAGTGCTTTGACACTCAGATCTGGAGGCACCCAAGGCTGGACGGGCTCTGAGCACTGATGGAGCTGTGGGTGTCCCTGTTCATTGAGAGTGGAATGGCTTTTAGAGGTCCCTCCCAACTCAAGCCATTCTGTGGTCCTATGATTCAATCTCTGTGTCTTTGCTCACCATTCAGCATTGCTGTTCACTCCAGTTCCCCCTCATATGATATTAATTAGAACACCAACAGAACTCCTTTCACTCAAACTCCTCATTCAGGTGCTTGCCAGCCCCTGTATTCAATAAATTTCCAGAGACTCTGCCCATTCTTTGTCATTTTTTTGGAAAGCTTTTGCAAACCAACCATTATGACGAGTCCTTGGGCTGGGTTCCTGCTGGTGCTGGAGGTTTTGGCTGTGGGCAGCTGTAAGTACGAGACATTTTGTTATGAACAAGCAGTGTCTGAAAGAATCTTTTATGGTGCTTTGAGGGGAAAAAAAAAAGAGCTCTGACAGTCAGGATACTTGGGCTTTGCACCTGGGAGCACTGAAAGATTCTTGGACAAAACACATAACCTCTCTGTGGCTCATCATCATTTTGAAATGGGGCTCAAACACATCGACTTCTTGGAAGAGGAACTTGGGTTTAACTTACGTTTGTCAGAGGGCACTGCGAATCCAATGCGAAAGAGCATGATCAGATCTTCTAATGGAATACTCCCAAAGTACGTTCAGATCCAATTAGCATCGATACGCCCTGCCTTAAGCAAGTGCAAATGGAGATGTCTGAAATCCGAGACAGTTGCACTTGATTCATTATCTGAGCACTGAGGAGAAACAGACCCCATGGGCGAATACGAAAGGAGGTGACCTGGAAAGGGTCACAGAAGTGCCCCTGGAAACACTTCAAAAATCTCCAGTTATGGAAGAGGAATCCCAGAGACCTTCAACATCTGCCAGTTTGCTGCATTACGGTGAGATTGTTTTTCCCGTTTGTTCTCCTTTCATATTAATTTTGTGTGCTTCACCTGTGAACGATCATTACCATCGGGGCAAGGAGATGAGGTACGTTGTAGTCTTTAGCCCCTCGTTCAAGTCTGTGGGCCGTCCTGTTATGACTGCTGCTCCAGGAGGGCACCCAGCTCTGCTTCAGTGAGTGAAGAGATGCGGGAAGGACCCCTCAGCTTCCATGCCAGCCAGTCCTTCTTGCTCTTCCCCAGACCAGTGTAGCATTCAGTGGGTTAATGATGCCTCTTCCAAGTGTTCCTAGTCTGCCTTTTTTATTAAAAACTAAAAAGAGCGAGAAGGAAAGACAGAGAGGATAAATGCATTCCCCCAGAACACCAGGACCTTGGGCACCTGAAGGGAGATCACTCCTCAGCGCTACAGCAAGTGTTGTCATCTCTGCTTTCAAACCCTCTGAGACAACCTCCCTCCTCCTCCCTTTCAGCTCTGGGTACCAATAAACGAACACGTTGATGTTACGGCTCGCTTGTACCCGAATCTCATCGCGCCGTCCCTGCTTACGGAGCTGGGCTGATATCACCCTGCTAGGACCTGAGGGAGGGGCGGGGCCAGCAGACCGGAAGGCGGGGTCCACAAATCGGAAGGCGGGGCCATCAGAGAGGAGGGGCGGGGCCAGCAGACCGGAAGACGGACTCCACAGACCGGAAGGCGGGGCAAGCTCAGTTTCCGTGAAGTGCAGCCGCCATCTTTTTGTCCCCGCGCGGCTCCCGTCGCGCCCCGTTCGTTGCTATGGCGGCGGCGCGGTGGCCTTGGCACTGAGGTGCGCGGGAACTCTGTGGGGCCATTCCCGCCCCCTGGCCCGCCCCATTCCGGCCGCCATGGAGGACGAGCTGTACCTCGAAAACATCGATGAGTTCGTCACCGATCAGAACCGCATTGTGAGTGTCGGCGGAGCGGGGAGACCGAACCGGGGTTGTCGAGGAGGAGAAAGCCACAGCGGGGCTTCCCCGCCCTTCCTTTCCTCCCTTCAGCAGCACTGCACGAGGGAGCGGTGTCTGTGTGTCTCTCAGGGGGTGGGTTTGGGCCCCAAACCCCGTGGGCTGTGATGGCTGCATGGCCAGGCCTGGGCTGGCAGCCTCTGTGGGGCCCCCCTCTTTTATCGCTGCGAGCAGCTCCAACCCAGCTCGTTTCAGAAAGCACCAACCCTGCGAGCAGCTGCGTCCCGTTGGCGGTTGGGAGTTGAGGCGGGGGTTCTGTGCTCACCTGCACTCCTGGACACGCATGGGCGGCCTTTGGGCAGGGACAGGAACTGTGAGGGCCTCCCCTTCCCCCCCCCGTCCTGATGCTGCTGAATCAGAGCTGCTCACCCACAGACTGAACGTTGCCTCTTCGTGTGGCTGTGGGGTGTGAGGGTGGAGCTGATGGCTGATGCCATCTTTCCCAGCGCGGAGTTGATGAGGGCTTATCACTCAAACTGGACCAAAAATGCCTTTTTTTTGGGGGGGTGGGGTCAGGATTTTCCTCTGTTGTGTTCTGTGTTTGATTTAGTGCCTCTAAAGAGGATGGATGTTGGTGTTGTTTATACTACAGAACGGTTTGGGTTGGAAGGGACCTTAAAGCCTCTCACAGCCCCACACCCCTCCATGGGCAGTGACACCTCCCACAGCCCAGGTACCCAAAGCCCCATCATGGCCTTGGGCACTGCCAGGAATGGCCACCCCAGTCCTTTGGGCAGCAGTGCCAGAGCCTAAGCACTCCCTTGGGGAAAAATTCTTCTTGACATCTAATTTAAAACCATCCCTCTTTGTCCTATCGCTGTCAGCCCGTGCCAGAATTCAGTCCCCCTTGTGCTTATAAGCTCCTCTCAAATACCAGAAGGTTGTAATGAGGTCTCCCCTCAGTCTTCTCTGGGCTGAACATCCCCATCTCCCTCAGCCTGTCTTCATAGGACAGGTACTGTATCCTCACGGCCCTCATCTGCACCCACTCCAAAAGCTCCATGTCTTTCCTGAGGTGGGGGCAAAGCGTCTCTCCCTGAATTCCTTTTGCTCCCTAATAGCTGAGCCCACAGTGTAGGGACAGCAGTATTTTATTTTACCCAAGGCATAAAATTCAGATGTGAATGAAGCAGTGTTTTTTCCTTGAAATATTGAGGCAATCACAGAACGGTTTGAATTGGAAAGGACCATTAAAAACCATCCAGTCCCACTGCCTGGTGTGGGGACACCCACGGTTCCATCAGGTGCTCAGAGCCCTGTCCAGCCTGACCTCGAATGGGGCATCCCCACCTCTCTGGGCAGCCCATGCCAGTGCTTCACCACCCTTATTGTAAAAAATCATTCATCTTGCATCCACTTTCTCTTCTTTTAGTTTGAAACTGTTTCCCCTTGTCCTATCACACCAGATCCTGCTAATGAGTCTGTCCCCTTCTTTCTTACAGCCCCTTTAGACATTGGAAGGCTGCTCTCAGCTCTCTCCAGACCCTTCTCTTCCCCAGGCTGTGCTGTCCCAGCCCTCTCAGCCTGTACTCCTGACCACTATTTGGGCTTCTGCTTGATCAGAGAAAAGTGAGATTACTATCAGTAGCATCTTGAAGCCCTGTTACTTTTGTGAAGATTGGGATGCACAGTAACCATGTGCCTGTTTTTTCCTTCCGTGCAAAATCTTTGTTTTGAAACTGAACCAGTGAAATCACTGCAGCTCTTGGGCCACGAGAGGAGTCGTGTTAACATGAACTGCCTGTGTCATTATCATTTATTTCCATAAGCTGCTAGATTAATGACAATTTAATCGTTGTGTTTGGGGCAGGAGAGAGACCTTAGCCTGAGGTGTTAAAAAAGGCAGAGTGGGAGGGGAAGCAGGTTTGGGGATGTGGCTCATCTTAATGGTGCAGTTACGTGCCTGTCATCTCCTGAGATCTGGCACACAGTGCTGTCAGGCTGCAGATGCAGCCAGGGATCCACTTGTTCCTTCTGACAGCATCATCTGATCTGTCCTCAGTCAATGGGAGGGCAATGGCTGCTTCTTACAGCCAGGGATTGTGCTGTTCCTGATGTGAAGTTGAGCGCTGTGGGCATTATAGAATCGCTCAGGTTGGAAATGACTTCTCAGATCCTCGAGCCCAGTTGAAGGGGTTTAGAATGGCTTCAGTTATGTAGTAGCATTTCCAAAAGGCATTCATGCAGACACACCTTTTGGGGTCAGAAATTTGTCCATGTCTTGGGAATTGAATCCCTTCAGTGTGGCACGGTGTCGAAGGTATGGGGGTGACAATGCACTCCCTGCCAGGTTTTCCTGTGTTGTTTCTTTCTGGGGGAAGGGGGCCATAAAGTGTTTGACTTCCCCACCAGAGAATGTGTGGTTTAACAGCCTGAGGTTTTCTTAAACTTCCTGATTTTTAATCTTTTGCAGGTGACATACAAATGGCTGAGCTATACTTTAGGAGTCCACGTCAACCAGGCTAAACAGTGAGTATCAACACAGCCTGCACGCCTCTGCTTTTGTGGCAGAGGATTGTTAATTGCTGTTTTCAGGTTGTGGTTAACATACTAAAATGCTCCCTCTGGGCACATGTGAAAATTCAGCATGCTGTCTCAGGTGCAGTTGGTTATGTTATTTAACACACCTTCACCCAGAGGGTGGTGAGGCAGTGGCACAGGTTGCCTAAGGAGGCTGTGGATGCCCCATCCCTGCAGGCATTCAAGGCCAGGCTGGATGTGGCTCTGGGCAGCCTGGGCTGCTGGTTGGCGACCTGCACACAGCAGGGCTTGGAGCTGGATGAGTGCTGTGCTCCTTTGCAACCCAGGCCATGCTATGGTTCACTGCTCCTCCCAAGTCTTGCCTTAACTTGGATGGGAGTCATGCTTTCAATTAAGCAGTGCTTAGTGCTCTGTTATGAGCCTGAATACTTGGGCCAGGACAGATGTTTTAGCACTGTTATTACTCCAGGAATGTGTGTGGCTCCTTTCATCCTGAAGCACAAAACTGAGTGTTGTCTGCATTTGCTGCCAGCCCCAACAACAGAGCTGTGCCTCTGTGGGCCTGCATTGCACATCCCAGGTCAGGATACATCCGTGGGTATTGCTGGGAACAGAGTCAGGAAAAAGGAAAAAAGCTCTGATGGTAACTGCAGCTCACATGTGCACCTAATGCTCATCCACTCTGTTTGCCCTGCAGCACAGTGCATGCATTGCATTGAATACCTGCCTATCTGGCTCCTTGGGATGATGATTATGAGTATCCTCTCAAGGATTCTGAGGTTGTTTATACACAGCAAGGTCAAGTTAAGCATAAGATTATGTAAGCATGTCTAGTCCCATATTGTAAATACTTTCTGTCCTTGTTTCCAGCTGTAGTTAGGACCTGAAGACACATTTGCTGTGTACTGAGCCCATCTTCACCTGTCCTGTCCAAAGTACTCGAATAGCAGCGTGGGCATCTCATGTGCTGACTTGATCTCTTTGCTCTGTGAACATTTGAGCAATTAAATGATGAAAAGTGTTTCAGTGATGGTGTAGACCTGACTGGAGAGCTTTGCTGGGAACACTTCTGCTCGTGCAGTGAACTAGAAAGAGCCAGAGAACTTACTGCTGTGGAGGAGGAGGCCCAGGTGCTGTGGAAACACCTTCTCCTTCCTTTGAGAGCAGTGTGGAGGTGGAGAACTCCTGACAACTTTGTGCTTAAAGCTCTCCAAGGAACTTGAAAAGCACCTGATAGCAACAGTGAATTGTTTGAGTGAGTTTTGCCAGTGTGGTCATTGCCATCTTCAGGTATCTCTGTCATGGGATGCTCACCATGAATCACTGGGATGCTCACTATGATGGCATGGGCAGAAGCTGCAAACTCAGTTCCTTTCTGTAGTCACACTTTCCTCATGTTTCTGATCACAGTGTCAGTGGTTGTAGGTGGGGACTGTACATATGCACCTGGCAATGTCCTTGTGTGCAAAACCCCCAGTTCTTTGGTCAGGAGTTCCATCACTCTGGGGTTGTAACAGCATTTCTCAAGGGGAAAACTTCACAACAAAGCAGCCTAAGGATCTGAAACAATCTGCAATCAGCCATTCAAGCACTGAGAGCTTGAGTTGGTTTCTCCTTTGCTGAATGTTGGGCTGTGAGATCCTTGGAGGCAGAGGAGGAAGGCAGATCAACAGGGTTAAATTAATCCCAGTGTTGATGTGAAAGCGTTTTCACATCAGGCAGGCTTTGCTCTTTTGATGGAAGCTGCACTGTGTGCTCTTTGCTTTCGGGGTGATTGACACTGGTTTCTTTGTGCAGGATGCTGTATGATTATGTGGAGAGGAAACGAAAGGAAAACTCAGGAGCTCAGCTTCACGTCACCTACCTGGTAGCAGGAAACCTCATCCAGAATGGACATACAGTGAGTTTTCTTTCTCCAGGGTTTCTATAAACTGTTTGTTCTCATCTTCTCCCTTGTTTTGTAACCTTTGGATCAGAAGCTCAACTTGTTCTGTTTGTTCCAGCACCAAGCACAAGATGCTGGCTCTTCTGTACCTGTACAGTTATTCAGGGTTAGGGTTATTTCTCAATCTTATCATTACTTTTGGACAGCAAATTTTATTTAAAAAAAAAAAAAAAAATAGCCTGGAGGGGCCCTTGTGAGAGCAGTTAATGTGTTCACCAGGATCTGCTGTGGAGTACAAGTGTGTCAAATAGCACTGGAGAGAGCTTGGAATTCACTTGTAGTTAATGTATGAAGTGTATTAACTTCTGCATGCATGCATAACTGTGTGTTTCTCTTTACTGCTTGTCAGGGTTTTCAGAAATGCCATCTGAAAGTTCAGACAGGCACCTCAGGGCTTGTTGGAAGAAAAGAAGCAAATTGGTCACCTGCTCCCCTTTGCTCCCAGAAGAGTTGAATGGGCCGAGCACTGAAGGCCTTTGATACACCACTGAGTGTCTGTGTGTATCTTCTGAATACTCAAATATTTTCTGAAACACAAACCCTGGTCTTTGTTTAGAGGTTTTGTCATCCCTGTAGCCTGAGTTTAATGGGCTTTCATGGAATCATGGAATGGTTTGGGTTGGAAGGAGCCTCTAAGATCACCTGTTTCCAACCCCCTGCTGCAGGCAGGGATGCCTCCCTCTCAACCAGGTTGCTCACAGTCCCATCCATTTCTTTGGCTTCTTTTGGAAATAATAAGGCAGCAGTTCTTGGCTCCCTAGAATCAGCAAGAATTTTATCCACACATCATTTTTAATACATCAGGACAGATTTAAAGGTCATGCAAGTAAGTGAATTCTGGCATAGGGTAACGTAGGACATAGGGAGATGTGTGTTTAACTCAGTAGTATCTTTAAAACAAGAAAGATCTGCAAAGGGCAGTGCAGAAAGATCACTTATTTTCCCCTTCCCTATTTTTTTTTTTTAATTATCTTGGTTTTGAGCACTGCCATCCCAGTGGCTGCTGAGAGATGACCTGCAGCCACAGTGGGTCATTGGGACAGAAGTGAATGGCACACAGGAGGTGCTGGGTGCTCCCCAGCCTGAATGCTTAAGGACTGGCCAGAGAAGGCAGGACAGGAGCTCACACCTGGAGAAGCCTTCCACAAGATGTGCAGGGATCAGAGCTGCTTGTGGCCAGGATCTGGCACAGCTACTGGGAGGAAATGGATGAGTGCTTCAGGTCCTGCCCCTGCTGGTGAGCCTGCACTCCTGCCTGCTGTCAGTAGGTGTAGCCACGAGGCTGTGGATCCAGTTGCAGGGATACAGCCACAGATCTGTCACTGATATTTCTCACTTTCAGTGCTGCACGCTGTTTGCTTACAGCCCCAGTGTGGCACGGAGACTCTCAATCTTTCTTTACCTTTTCAGGTTAGTTACACTTTCTTGCCTCTTGTTCATTTTCTGGATGGTGTGTTGCTATGTGCCAGACACAAAAGTAATGGATGGATTTTGTCCAGCCTGTCTGTTTGGATACTGCCTGTACTAACTGCAGCCTGTTGAATGTCACAGAGCAGGTGTGATACTTGAAGCCTGGAAAGAATGCATGCTGTAGGAGTGCATTTCTGGGAGCACTCATTTCTGGCTGTTTAATTAATGCTGAGTTTCTCATTGTGGCTTGCTTCTCTGGTGCCACATCTTTGCTAAATATTGCAACTTTGAGTTTGCAGGCAATGTAGAGATACATGGGCCAGTGCATCAGCTTTGGAGCAGTTGGTCAACAGCTGCATCTCTTTGCTTTTCTCAGTTGTGCTGCATTGTTTTGTTCTCATTTCCTTCTGCATCTCATCTCCTGATGTCAGGAACGGAGGACTGAGCATTTCTTCTGAGCTCTGAAATAGTGTATGAGAAAAATGGGAAGCTGTGGCTTTAGAAATCAGTGGCTGATGACCGTTTGAAGGTAGTGGCAGAGTCCTGGAAGCTGCACCTCTAACCTGCAGGCTTTCTCATTCAGCAGAGAAATGAAGATATTGATCTTACATAAAACAAATATTACAAATATTTTCAAATCTTAAGATTGCAATTTGTTTTTGTTGTTTTTTTTTTTACAGTGCCACAAGGTTGCAGTAGTGAGAGAGGATAAGCTGGAAGGTAAGTGGATTGTAAGGTGATGAATCATGGAATCATAGAAAAGCCTGGGTTACAAAGAAGCTCAATGCTCATCCAGCTCCAACCCCCTGCTGTGTGCAGGTCACCAACCAACAGCCCAGGCTGCCCAGAGCCACAACCAGCCTGGCCTTGAATGCCTGCAGGGATGGGGCATCCACAGCCTCCTTGGGCAACCTGTTCCAAAATGCTTTTCTGCTTTGAAAGAACAACAAAGTGAGCAGAGCTCAGCACTTGGCATCTGTGCATGAAGTGCCTGGTCAGGCTGTGTGCAGTTCAGGTGTGTACTTCTTGTACCAGTTTGTTTCTCAGAATTTTGACCATCTGAGCCAACAGCTCGGTAACTTTGCAGCCTTGGGACTGAGGTCTGCTGCACATTTTAGTCAACAGGGATTCTGTTCTGTCTTTTAGCACGTCTGATCCTGCTAATGAGCTCTGATGACAACAGAAACACAGCTGCAAAGTGACATTGTCACTTTCAAGTAACGTCTTTGGTGTTTGAGAACAAGCTGTGGTGTTTGTGACCTTTACCATCAGTATGAATGGCCTGACTTGTGTTATTTTTCTTTGAAATGTGAGGTAGATTTCTAGTGAAGTTGTCTTCATCAGGGTATTGTCAAGCAGTGCAGCTACTATCCGTCAGGTCTGCTGAATTATGTGTGCTGTGTGGTGGGAAGAGCAGAGTTGTTCATGTTTTTTGTATTCAAAGCCAGCCAAAGGTCTGACTTACATTTGGAAGAGGCTGAGCTTTGCGATGGGAGCAGGGCTGTTCAGACTAGGCCTGGCCCCAAGAAATGATTACTGAGTGTATTTTTGCAGTGCCTCGAAGCTCCGTCTCAAACCAGGGCAGCGTGGAAAGAGCGATAGAAGCAGAGAACAAAGAATTGCTTAAAATAAAAAAGAAAGCAGCTCTGGTCTCAAGGCTGCGGTCTAAATAGAGCCAAAGAGACAAAACATTGATTTCAGTGGATTAATGGAGGAAACCCTGCAGTGTTAGTTGGTATCTTTAATGGCAGGGAGCAGCTGCAGCAGCATAGAGGTATCACCATCCTTTTCTTGCTGAATTTTAGGTGGGCATGTAGATATCCTGGATCCCAGGTGCTGGGTTTTCTGAAGGCAAATGCTGAGATCTGTATGAAGATGTGGAGCTCTTGGAGCGGGCCCAGAGGAGGCACTGAGATGAGCAGAGCAGCTCTGCTGTGGGGAAAGGTTGAGGGAACTGGGCTTGTTGAGCTTGGAGAAGAGAAGGCTGCAGGGAGACCTGATGGTGGCCTTCAGTGCTTGAAGGGAGCGGATAAACAGGAGGGGGAACGGCTGTGTGTGAGGGTGGGTGGTGATGGGACAAGGGGAATGGCTTGAAAGTGAGCCAGGGGAGGTTTGGGTTGGATGTGAGGAGGAAGTTTTGGAGGCAGAG